CTCGGAGGGGCTCTAACGGCTCTGCCCAGGGAGGGAAGGGCCTGGTCCGTCGGCGGTGGCCGGGGAAGGGCTCTGCAGCCCCTCCGGTGACCCCGGCCTTCCTCTCCGCGGTGCAGGAGGTGGAGGAGCCCCCGAGCGAGATCGTGACCGTGGGGACGGCGCCCTACTTGCGCCGGGAGTCGCGCAGGCGGCGCTCCAGCTACGCCTTCTCCCACCGCGAGGGCTACGCGGAACTCATCACTCAGGGCACGATCCTGCGCCGCGGGCCGGGGGCCGACAGCCACAGGCTGGCGGGCCAGGTCAGTCCGTCCGACGAAGAACTGCCCCTGAGCACCAGGTCGTCCCCCTGGCGCCCCAAGATGTCCCTCCCGGGGAAGAAGGGGCGTGTGCACCGGGACAAGGTGTTCTTGCAGGACGAGCTGCCCGGCCCCTCGGTGCGGTCCTTCCTGGCGGCCGAGGCGCGGCCTTCGGGCCTCAGACCCTCGGCCTCCCACGCGAGCGAGCCGCGGCCGTCGGGGGGCGCGCGGTCTCCGGGGAGCCAGCCCGCGCCCCTGGAGGAGGAGACGGCCCCGTGGAAGGTCCCGCCGTCGCCCCGGCGGGACCGGCCGTCCAGCGGGCAGCTGTTTCTCCAGTCCCCCGCGGAGGACCCGGCGCCGCGTGCCAGTGAGCCCCCACCCACCGCGGCGCGGACCCCAGCCCCGAGCCGGCCGCCCGCGGAGAGGGCGGGGAAGGTGGCGCCGCGGGGTGGCTCCCGCCGCCGGGGCAGGGGCAGCGGCCGGCCCCGCGTCCAACGCGTCCGCCCGCCTGCGCGGCCTTCCCCGGAACGCTAGTCTCCGCGCCCCTTGTTTTTCTTTTTTCTTTCTTTGCTAATAAACCAGGGTCCGCCTCCCCCAGGGCTGCGCGAGGCTCATTCTGCCACGTCCCCGGGTCCTAAAATGCGAACACCGGCCTCTAGCGGCCGAGGCGGGATTTGCAGGAGGAGCCCCGCCCCCGCCGTTCTCCCCCCCCCCCCCCCCCCGGGGTGGACGCCATCCGGGGACCTTCCACGCCCTCGGGGGGCAGGGGTGCTGGGCTGACCCCACGGGAAGAGGCGGTTGGGTGGGGGGCCGGCCCGCAGACAGACGGCCTCCCCTCCCGCGCCCCGCGCCTCCCCTGCCACGGACACACACGTCCAGGTGAGTGAGTACAAAATAATTTATTGGAGAAAAACAAAACAACAAATCCAGCACAGCAGTGGTTAACAATGACCGAGACTTTTTTTGTTTTTTTAACTTTTAAGCCTGTCACCTGAGGGTGGGAGGGAGAGGGCCTCTGTTCCCTCTAGCGTCCGGGGTGGGGGGGACTTTGGATGACCCAAGTGGTGCCCCGACCCAGAGCAGCCCCAGTGTCTAGTCTTGCTTAAAAACTCAGGGTCACGTGGTCTCTTGGCCCTCCCTCACCCCCGGCTGAAGGGAAGGCCCCCAAAGACCAGCCCTGGGGGGGGGCTGCCAGGGCCGCGGTGGGGAGCCCGGGCCCAGGGACGGGCGTGTTCACTCTGCTGTTGGAGAAAGGGACTTGGCCGCGTTCCAGCCGGCGCCGGGCGGGATGGGAGGGGCCCTGGGCTGTGCCCGCCCCCGCCCTCTAATCCCGAGCCTTGCGTCCTGGGTGCACCTCCCTGCGGCCACCCCAAGGCCCCGGCCCGCCCGTCTCGGAAGGTGGGCTCTGCCCTGGTGCGAGCTCAGCAGAAGCGGAGTCACAGGCAGGGATTCTGCCCCAGAGCCCGCTTTCACAATTGGGGGGGGCGCTCTGTTCTCTAGGGTCCTGACGTGGGCTGGGGGGGTTCCACAGATGTGCACCCCCCTCCCCACACACCCCAGGCCAGACGGAAGGGCCGAGGAGCCCGAGGGTGCGGGAGGGGTCCTGCTGGGGGCCTGCCTGGGGGCAGCAGGTGTCTCCGGAGGGCCCTTCAGATGTCCGAAGTTGGGGTACACCCCGCCCCCCCCACCCTGGGCGACAAGACTCGAATTGGCTGATTGTCTCTCTCCTCTGAACAAGACACTTGGGAATTCATGCTAGCGTGAAACCAGCCAGGTTGGGGGAGGGGGTCCGAGGTGGCAGAGACACCCACCTGCGCCCAAGACCCAGAAGCACGAGGCCCAGGACCCCCCAGTCGGCTGGCACGGGCAGGCGGCATGTGGGCAGCGGGAGGTGGGCACGGGGGTCTGGAGGTCCGCTGCCTCCTTCCCCTTCCTGCCCGCCCGAGGCCTCGCCCCCTCCCGCCGCTGGACACAGATCCTTAGAAAGGGGGAAACTAACACAGAGCAGCGAAGGAGCCCCGACTGAACTCGGGCACGAAACACAAGCATGCGACACGGATTCCTGGGGCTCTGAGCGGCCCGCCCCACCCCCCGCCCCACCCCCCAGCACAGTAGTCATGCATCAACTCAAATTCCATTGTCTTTTTTTTTTCATTTTTCTTCCTTTTTTTTTCTTAAATTACATTTGAACACAGAACACATAGAATAATAAATACTCTTATAAGACATGACTCCAGAAAACGAGAAACAGAACACGCCAGAGAACAGAAAGGTACACGCTCTCTCTTCCTGCCTTTCCTGAAGGACTCGTTTGAATAAGAAATCTGTAAACGCCGGTCCGCGCGCTCCGCCTCCCGCCCGCGCCGCCCTTGCCCTTGGCCTCCGACCGCCGCTCTCACCGCCCTGACATTCAATATGTCTCCCACGGAACTCTTCAAAGAAACGACATACCATCGTCTGCAAAATTATAATTTAACGGTATAAAGCTTCAAGTCACGTATTCCAAAAACTAGCTAAGGATTTTTTTTTATCACATAAACTATACATTAAATATTTTGAGGTATTTCAGAGAAAATTGTCAAAGGCTCGAAGGAGCTGTGCTGGATGCGTCATTCCCTGCGTGGAGAATGGTCTTGGTGACGACAGCTGGGTGTGTGGGGGGGGGTTGAGGGCCCGCTGGGGGTGGGGGCTACTACCAGAGCTGGTGTGTGTGTGCGTGTGTGCGTGTGCGTGTGTGTGTTTGAAAGGGACTCCGGGGATGCTTCTGTGACCGGGGCTGGTGGGGCTTGACCCGATCTGACCACAGGTCACCATTGCGAGAAAGTTCCACACTTTACAACAGGGGACAACACAGAGACCTCTGGCCTCTGACCCTTGGTCTCAGCACAGGTGTCAGGGAGCCCTGTCCCCCATAAGCAGGCGGTCCGTCCAGTGGGGCCCAGGTCACAGTGGGGGAGGAAGGAAGGGGTCACATCCACCCGGACTCCGGGGCCCAGCGCCACCACAGAGAGGGCACTGGTGTGGTGTGTGTGTGTGTGCGTGCGTGTGTGTGTCTGGGGGGGCTGCTGAGCGGGGACAGGGACTCCTAGGATTCTGCCCCAACACCCAGAGGTTCTAGAAGCATCACTCAGATCGGTTGCTTAAAAAGCCGGGAGAATAGCGAGTCGATAAGGACAAGAGAACATTTCACACACATCTTTGGTTCCAGAAAAAGGCACTCATCGACCTCAGTATCCTCTCTCCCTCCTCTCTCTCTCTCTCTCTCTCTCTCTCCATTTCCCTTCTCTCTCTCTCTCTCTCTCTCTCTAGCTGCTAGGGAGCGGGGCACCTGGAGGGCACACCCGGCCCCGGGCGGGGAGTTCCAGCGTCCAGCACAGGTCCTTGGGGGGAAATCTTTGGTATCAGGCGTGATTTATCCAATCACAGACAAGAACGTTTGAGTGAGGTAGCCTTTACCTGGGGAGGGGGCGTTTCACTAGAAAAGTCTTTTGCATTCTCGAGGGGGGGAGGGGTGACTACCTCCCTGGGAGGCAGTGGAGGAGCCGGGTTTGGGGGGTGAGGTTCCTTCTAGCCTCCAGATCTCCAACCGTGGGGAGGGGGGTTCTCGGGATCCAGCTGCCGGCCAGCCTTGGAGGTCACCTGGAGGTCACCAGGAAGGGAAGAGAGACAAGCTGGGGGGGAGGGGGAGGTGCTCGTCTTCATTTCTGACCTTCCTTCCGCCTTGTCAATTTTTTTTTTTGGCAAAAAAAGGAGCAAGCAGATCCCACCTTCTTCAGCACGTTCTGATCTCCTTGGAGAGAGAGTCACGAGCTGGGGCTCGCCCCCAGCCTCCCCTGCAGGCCCAGCGCCGCACCCCTGAGCGCTGGGAGGTGGTGCTGAGTTCCAGAAGGTTCCACACAGGCTCCCGCGCGCTCTGTGCCGGTCTCTCCTCCGTGGAATCTGGGTTTGTTTTGTCCTGTTTCCCGGGGTCATCAAGGTGCCGAAAGGTAAAGTGAACTGGCGGGGGCGCCGGGGAGGGGAGGCGTCTGGAATGTACCCGCATATTTGAGCTCGCGGTCCCCTCCGGGCTGGGACGGGGCGGGGGAGGGCGCCCGCCCGTGGGCGCCGGCGGCCCCCGCTGCGACCCCTCCCCAGACGTTAAGGCAGGCGATTCTTGGCACAAGGAACCCCGGCCGCCAGGGGTGGGGGGAACAGCGGGGTTCTCGGCTGGGGGGGGCGGTTCTGCCGGCGGAGGGGGCTGGTCTCGGTGCGGGTGGGGGCGCGGGGAGGACCCAGCCCCGCGGGGTTTTGGCGACTTTGGGAGGGGCGGGGTCCGGGGCGGGGTCGGCGGGAGGACCGCCTGGGGGAGGAGGGCTCCGCCGGGGCTCCCTGCTGGGGGGGCGGGGGCCGGCGAAGGGCAGGGTCGGGGTTTATTCTTCAAATTCCTTCTGTTCAATACCCGGTTTATATTTCTACTATGTGCTTCTTGACCCGCTTTCGGGAACGCGGCGGCGAGCCCTGCTTCTCCTCGCGGCCCTCCGGGCGTCCCGACCTCCGGGAGCTGGGGGGCGCCCTCCGCCGTCCTCTCCCCCGGGGGGGGGTCGCGGAGGGCTCCCTTTGGCCTGGAGGGGGCGGGGCGCAGGGAGGAGGGGCCTTCTTGTGCACTGGGCTGGGGGGGCGGGGGCGCCCCTCCAGCGCGCCCCCCCAGCCCCCCCCCGCCGGGGCTCAGGCCTTGGAGAAGGTGGCGGCGGCGCCGGCGGGGCCCGCGGCGGCGGCGCCCGGCTCCTCGGCCCAGCGGTTCATGCAGCGGCGCCGCGCGTTCATGAAGAAGTTGCTGACGGTGTTGAGCTCCAGGCCGAGCTGCTGCGAGATGGTGACCTGCATCTCCTTGGACGGCCGCTTGTTCTCCTTGAAGATGGCGATGAGCGTGCGCCGCTGCAGGTCGGTGAACACCAGCCGCTGCTTCTTGGGCTGCAGCGCGCGTTCCTTCTGCTGCTCTTGCTCCTTGCGCTTGCACGCTGCGCGTCCGCGGGGCGGGGCCAGAGACGGGGCGCCGGGTCAGCGCGGCTCGGCGCGCCCC